GCTGCTCTTTGTGTGCAGAAAAGGGGGAGGAGGGTTCCCGGCCAGCTCCGCTGTCCTCATGCAGGCAAGGCAGTCTCAGTGCCTAAATGTGATTCACAATTCGGGAAAAAGCCACGTTTTGCCGGTCTGGCTGCTGTGTGTGAGGCAGTTGTTCATTTGCTTGTTCTAAAAACTGCGCTAAACCTATGGATTCCTGTTCTGTAATAACTATGGTTGCTCTCGCCACAGAGGTTTCTTTTTACCCTGGACTACTCCCCTCCTCATTCCGCCCCTGCAATGCAGGCATGACCTGAGGATGAACTGAGTTTGCACAGTTTCAGTGGGAATGCGTATTGCCCAGTGCTTTCAGGAACGGTGGTTTAGGGCTGTGTGCAGTGTTAATCAGAGCTGTGCCTCCAAAGAGCTAATGCTGTGCAGAAAAAAAAAAAAAAAGAAAAGAAAGAAAGAAAAAACGTTCTGCAGAGCTGGGCTTCAACAGCTGGTATGTGTACAGTAATGCAGTAAGTCCTCATGGCTTGTATTTTCCACACTTACACTTGCTTTCTTTCCCCATTCTGCCATGAAGGTTACCATAAAGAATATTGAGAGAGAACTCATTTGCCCAGCATGCAAGGAATTATTTACCCATCCGCTGATCCTTCCTTGTCAGCACAGTATTTGTCACAAATGTGTGAAAGAAATTCTCTTCACCCTCGAAGACTCTTTCACCGATGCAGGCTCCGAATCCTCTAATCAGAGCAGCCCTCGAATTCGAATGCATTCTCCAAGCATGGACAGAATCGATAGGATTAGTAGAGCAGGTATGTGTCAGAGATTTTCATTTTCATGTCTTTCTAATTTTATCTGTGTTATACTGATCTGAAGTGAATGGTATCTGTACTGTTGAAGCGTCATCCTGGTACTCCTGGCATCAGCAGTCAAATGGACAACTTTGGGAACAGTGCGAGTGTTGTTCATTTTGCACTAGGAACAATGGGAATATTTTTATTGGAAGGACAATGCACTCTATTTCATGTAGAAATAAATTAGTCTTTGTGGTATCATATAAATATTTGTAGCCATTGTTTTCTTTTATTCCTATGTTCTAATGACCACTGAGCATCAATATTTCAATTTCAACAACTTTATTATTTGTCTTGGTACTGTTAAGTTGTTCTCTCAGATCTTGCCTGCCTGAATTCTGTAGTTATGCCTTCCTCCCCTATGATCATCCTCCCTTTCCCAGTTTTCCAAGCTGAAATATTTCCTTTAACATGTCCTTAGTACTGATATTTTTTTTAAAGTAAGATGGAAAAGTAAATGTTGTCTTTGCCTTAATTTGGCTGATGCTTACATGATATGAGGGAATCCTCAGCCCAGTGGCCAGCTGTGGGATGAACGTCCACAGTTGCTATTTATTGCTCAGTTATTATTAAGCTAGTTCCAGTTTCCCACAAACTTCAAGTGTAGAGAGCCTCATGGTAACTGACTTCTACTGAAGAGAAGTCCATGTACCTTTTTTCTTTTTAATCCCATAAGCATTATGTGCTTATATTCCTTCATGTGTTTTGCTTAAAGCTCTCACTGGTTTCAGTTGCAGCTTTCCACTTTATGTTTTTGCAAATTGGATATCAGACTTCCAGCGTGAGTGCCTGGGAAGTAATGAATACACAGTGGGCAACCTCCCTGTGAGAGCTGTGCCTATGAAACGTGGAAGTATCAGACAGGCAATGCACAGGGAGCAACCTCCCCATGCTGCATTCAGCAGCTTAAGCAAGGAGATAATCCCTTCTCTCCTGTCAAAACCTGTCTTCCTGCTAGCTTTCCACCAGCCACTGCAAATACAGATCTTACACTGCGTGCTCTCTGCTCGCTGTCACAGAGCCTGTGTACTGAATGAGGAAGAGGCTGTGTTGAGAGACTGATATTTAATTACTACGAGAAACCAAACACTAATGTCTCCTGTGTCAGGAGTGGGTAGCTTGGGAGATTTGAGAATTAAGATTGGAAGAGCTCAACTTGCAGCTCTACGAGACTTGTTGCATACCCTTTTCACAAGCCTTGATGTTACTGCTTCATTGTAACAATAAGGACTCCTCCCCGCTGTGATTTGTGCACTCAAGTTATTGCAGGGGCTGTAATTTTAAAATCCTAACAGCCATCCTAGCAACTGATAGGAAGTAGTACGTGTTATCTCACTTTACCTGTTGGTAGAGGGAGATGAAGGCTTTGTTAGTGGCCTTGGTACCTCTTTGATGGGCAGCAGCAGGGTGTAGAGATGTGGAAACATTAGGCTTTCTCCCTAAGGAGCATTGTGCAAATCCACATCATGGGAAAAATTAACATCTCAAGTGATTCAGATTCGCAAAATGGAAAGCATATGGAAATGGCACCTTTAAAGAATGAAAGTTAGATGTACAGGTTGTGCTGTCTTTGCTTGCAGTGTTAAAGACATTTGTAGGGTGGGAGATTGCTCTCAAAAATTTGATACCATCAGTATTCAATGAAATTGCAGCTGACATTTGCACAATTCTTGTGTCGCATCCCAAGGGACTATGTTCTTGCTTACTTCCTATGCAAGAAGACTTTATTTATTTAATTTATGAACTTATATATCCTGAGTGGGATTTGTAATAAAATATAAACAATATCCAAAGTTGTGCATCAAAAATAGTAGTTTTTGGCAGGTTTGTATAAGGCATGTTGCTGTACGTTATTTTCATACTTGAAAATACATGATACCTTTCTCATTTAATTATTTACTTTTCTTTCTTACGGAATCCTTATGATTTACTAAGGATACCAGCTATTTTGGCTTATTTTGGCCTTGAGAAACAAAAAAGCACTCATCCATATTTTGGATTAGCGTGCACACACAGCTTTCGTTTTCAAGTAAAGTTTATTGTGGTATAGAAAAGCTGGAACTGGTAGAACTGTTAATTTTCCAGTTGAAATTTAGTGCGTGTTCTTGTTAAATTTAGGGTTTTGGTTTAAAGCATGCAGTTTTATATGTAAAATGGTATTTTTTTTGATTAAGAAATCAATTTATGTTGTACATAAAGTGTGTATCATGTTGCTGATTGATTTTCTGTGATGTTAGTGTATTTAGAAAAGAACATGTGATGTGGTTATGTTGACACTTGTGCAGCATTGATGGATGATGAGAAACGGAGTAAGTTTGAAAAAAACATGTATATGTATTTATATATTTTTTCCATCCACCTGTCCTTTCTTCTTCCTTCTTTCTACTTTAATGCTACAGTTGTTATGTGTTAGGAAAATAATCGACCTTTCCTTTCAGCCTTATAATAGTTTAACAGTCACAGGAAAGAAAACAATTGATGGTCTTCATCTGAGCCATTGTAAACCAATGGTATATCTCATTTTTTCAATTTCTAAAAACAGCTTTCTGTTCATTGTTCGCAGCCTCACAGAGGAGGTCTTTTGGGTGGAGAGGTAGAAATGCTTCACTTCTTGTATGGCTCTAGATAGTATAGTGTTTAGATCTCAAGTTAAATATTGTTGGTTAGCATTTAGTTTTCTTGTCAGTGGTCAAGTCCATCAAGTCTACAAAGTGGCTTTTGCAGTGAGCAAAGGTGCAGAAGACTTCTATTAGGCAAGCTTTTCATTCTGTTCTGCAATTGACTTAAAGGTCAACTGGACTGGAATTAAGATAAGAGTTGGATTTTTTTTCATGTGTATATGTGTGACTAAACATACTTTACAGGTGCAAACATATCAGATGTCTTTTCCAATTTAAAGCAAAAAGCAAAAAAAAAAGTTAACTGATCAATTTTCAGTAAAACTGCTGTCTTACCAATAGTGAAATACAATTATTGTGTTGATGTTTATAACACCAAGAGGTCATGGTCAACAGTATCACTTCTAAATGGAAAGCAATATCAGTTCTTCAATGGATCAGAGCCCCTTTAATTGCATCTAAGTAAAAAGGAAAGGACTGAAATTTACACCTTGCTGATTGGACCAGGTAGTTCTGCATCTCACAGTTCAGGATGGCACATACAGGTGTGAGGGAAAACTCAGTATGGAAAGCTGTCACTTTTTCTCATGCTTATCAAGCTGACTGACACGTCAGGTTGCAGGATAGATGATGTCTCTGTTTTGAATAGATGCAGTTCTCTGAACATGAGCAAAGATACTGGTCTGAGTGTCTCTGCCCCTGTTTGGGGCTTGTTCTGAGATGTTAGCATAAATGTTTCTTTTTAGGTGTGCTGTTCTGTCAAAAATGGGAAAAACAAATCCTCTTGTTGGCCTAATATTGGCAGACACTTGAGCAGCCTTTAAAATTCTGTATCCTTCAAAAAAGGAATGAATTGAACTAACCACAAATCCGAATTCTACACTCCACATCACTACACTTTTCGTGAAGGACAAAGCAGCTAATAGGAAGTCAGATTGCTTCAGCTGGAGAGTAGAAGTGTCATAAGCAAACAAAGATAGTGTAGGACACTTAAATACTGGAAAAGCTGAATTTATCTGCTCTGGTCACAGAAAGCACCCCTGAAGTAGGGAAGATTTTTGAAGTATTGGAAAATTACTTTTTAAACTATGAATTTGTCTCCATTTTTTTTCTTTCTTCCTACCTACAGATCTGTTTACAAGCATTAACTGAGTTTGAGGATGGCAGTATACATTTTTTTTCTTTTTTATGCATCAGAATCCAGTTGACTTTTAAAAACTTTTTTTTTGTTTGTTTAAACTCTCACAGAATTAACATTCATGTCCTCCATAATCACTGAATGCTGGTGACACTATACTTGGAAAACACGGTTTTATCTTTAAGATGTCTTATCTCTTTGCAAACTCACAGCTGTAGCTTGGGTGACTTTTCCACAATTCAAGTGTTAGTATTTCCGTGTGGGAAGAGGATGCTTAAAAGGTGTATTTATAAGATGTGTCCGACCTAAGGGTGCTCCAGGTCACCTTTGCATATTGTAATATTTGTGAATTTAGAGTCTGAGTAGGAAAACATATTGTGATATATTTCATTTTTTAAACAAAAGTAAAAATATAACTATTTTTTACTGCATCAGCAATAATCAGCTCCCCAGCTGTTCTCCAGTCAAGGTATTCACTGTTTCTGATCTGAGCTTTTTTGTGATAACCCCTAGTGCTCCACAAAATAAATACTTGTTGGAAACTGGATTGGCAAGGTGTAAAAGAGATTCTGGGAGGATCAAAGTTTTCTCTGAACTGCGCACCTAATATGCCTGTAGAATCCCTTTTTTTTTTTTTTTTTTTTTTTTTCTATTTGAGAGGTCTTTTTGATTGGTTGTTTTTTTTATGTGCGGAATTCAGTTTCAGCAAACTGAAAGTCAGACGAAGAAAAGACCATGCTCAAAGTAACATATTTCAACAGACTGCTTTTCAAAATATAATTTTATAAATCATATAAACAATAAGCAGACTAATTCTTACTGCATGTTAATATTTTAACATTCTCACTAGGCAAAAAAGAGAATGTCTCCATGCTTTAAGTATTAAAGTGGCAGAGTATGCTGAAAGGAGCTAAGGAAGTACATTTACAGGCTTATACGTTTTGAAACAGAAAAGCAAAACAAACAAACAAATGCCTAAGCTTTAGTGGAAAGGGATGAGACATCTTAAGACACGCAGGAGTTACTTTCTGGGTGTTGGATTGCTTTCTGTAAGCATGGTGTCACCAGTATGTGTAGAGCATGGCTCATCACTACAGTCTTGTTTTGTTCCATGACTGGCAGAATGAAAGGCCTCAATTGGATTGCAACTAAACTCATCTTTGAGTTAAACCAATTCCACATTGGAGCCTCTTGGGCCAGGCTTCAAAAGCATGCTACTGGATAAGAATTTCAGACTGTATTTTAAACTTGACCACTGCACCATATTTTTCCTTGTTACCTTGCTTTGTCATTGCTTGCTTTCTGCTGTAGTGAACTGCTTGTTGGCAGTCTTGTACATACAACACTGTATCATTATTCTTCTAGTCTTAGAAATGTAAGTATTCCTTGTCCCCTTTTGGTAGCTGTTGACTGCATGATACTGCATGCAAAATCATCCTTCTGCTCAGGTCGTTGTAGAAGCCTGTGCAGAAGGTCTCTTTCCATTCTGTGCCGAGTGCTAGCTTGGAGCATACATTTTAAATAATATATATATAATGTATTTTACTGCTGTTTCTGTGCATTGCATGTGTGTGTTGCTGTATATGCCAAGTTACAGGTATTACAGGATGTACAGTTTGGGTTCTTAATTCACTTCAAGTAAGTACTAAAAAAACATAAAAAATCTCTGCTTCCCTTCACAAGAGAGTTGTAAATATACTGTTGGTTTGGGTTATTAGCACTGTGTCCTCTAAATGTGACCTCGTTGTACTGCTCGGAACCTGCAGAAAGGTGCAGGTTCCTCAGCTGACCTTGAGACCCTCAGCTCTTATAAGTGCGCACTTATTCCTGCTCTGGTCCTGGCTTTTTAGCTGACCATAGTGCACAACTATTGCGGGGCATGTTTCACAGATTCGTAAAGGAATCAGTTCCTTATGGGAGTGTTTTTAAAGAGGCTGAGAAGTGCATGATAGGAAGGGAGGCTTGAAACTGCTGTTGTAGCAATCATAGAAGAACAACATAAACCAAGTGTCTCCTTGGCTAGCAGTGAAAGGACTTCAGAAATGTTGATGTTTCATTTCCTTTTGAGGGGAGCTGACTGAATACAGATGAACCAATTTCCCATCCTCGTAAAGAACCGATTTCGGCACTGTAAGCCTTTGGCTGCACACACACACACTAATCACACCTCCATTTACAGACTGATCAGTTGAGGCAGCCTGCGCTCTCCTCAAAGGGATGTTAAAATAGTGCTCCAGTTGGAGGGTGGTTTTTAGTTTCTTTGTATGTGTGAGTGCTGGTGTAGCCCTCTTCAGAACTGCTTGAGTGGCTCCTCTTCGTTGTTCCTCTTCATGAGTTAATGAGTGAGGCAGGGTGTGCTCCCTGCTCCGCAGCTTTGAGGGTGTGGAGCTGCGAGGAGCTTTGGGGTCTGCAGAGCCATTTCAGAACATGTCACAAGGGCTCTTTAAGTCTGCAGGGTTGCTTGAGCCTTGGATGGCTTTATTCTGGCGAGGAGGAGAAAGTTTCATGTAGCTCTTTGGTGGGAGTGTTACCTCTCTGCAATCAGTCTCTAAAACAAAAAGTGATAGGCTTAACTCTGTTTAATCATGCAGATCTGTGGTTCCCTTACTCGGAGTAAGGGAATCTCTCAAATATACTTGTCTCAGTGTTCAGTTTCCCTTTGATTTCTGTGCTAGTGTAGTTAGCAATCCTTTTCTATCAAGGCCATTGATGGGGGAAAGGCCGAGTCAGCCACAATAAATTTTGTCTAACTGATTTTGCTTGATTTGGTTCTTTGCTGGTTGTTTTTATGTCTCCTTTTGGGGAAAAAAATTAAGTTTACCTCAGCCAAAGCAAACTTCTGGAAGCTCAAAATTGTCTATATCCATGTGGAAATAACTATTTTTTCTCCCTCTGAGAGTAGTCGTTCTTCCCTTGAACGTGTTAGAAAGCTGGGACTATATCTGGGCAGCCTAATATTAACTGATTTCTGGAAAATACATGGTTAGTGTTTAAAAAAGGCTGCAACTTGAATGCATCCAAAACTAGATCAGGATCTCCAGGACATTCTCCTAAGGTAATGCCTTCTGAAGCTTTACATGCTGTGTAGTTGCCACAGAAGTGTTTTAGACTTATGAAAGAAAAGTTTGTTCTCCATGTAGGCACCCAGAATAGTGCCAAGTGACTTGCCATGAGTTTAGGCAGTTGTCTTCCACACTTGTGCAGAGATGGTGAGACATTCTGTAGAAAAAAGGAATTATCTGGCAATGCAGGAGCTGCTTTTAAGAAAAAAGGGTAGTGATGTTGACGTAGTGGTGTTGCAAGAAATAAAACTGCAGGAAGCAGATGATAGTATGAGAACAGTTAAATTCATCTTAACACCGAATTAAGCTTTAGAGTAGTTTGTAATGTATCTGTACTCAAACATTACAGTGGCAAATCTGTAATGGCAAATCTGTTCTCTTTGGCTTGGCAGAATGCATATGTATTAGTATTGTATTGGTTTGGATGATGTGCTAAAGTAATTTGGGATTGGTTCATAAAGTGCAGTGTTCCTAAAATACCTAAAACTCTTTGGTTTATGCTCCTACTAAACCAGTATTTGCTGTCTATGCAGGCAGAAAACGCAATTCCCTGACTTCTAGAACAACTATGTTTCCTTGTCCTGGCTGTCGACATGATATTGATCTGGGAGAACGTGGCATCAGTGGCTTATTTCGAAACCTTACTTTGGAAACCATTGTGGAAAGATACAGGCAGGCAGCCAGGGCAGCCACAGCCATTATGTGCGATTTCTGCAAACCTCCGGCTCAAGAGTCCACCAAGAGCTGCATGGACTGCAGTGCAAGCTATTGCAATGAATGTTTCAAAGTGTACCACCCCTGGGGAACTGTAAAAGCCCAGCATGAGTATGTGGGACCAACCACCAACTTCAGACCCAAGGTAAGTGTGTATCTTAATACATTTAGTACAGGTTTGCATAGAGCTTGCAGACACATTTGTGCTGCAGTGGTTGCCTTTTAGGATCATTGTTGCTTTATTGACTTCTGCTGCTGTTTGAGTGAATCATAAAGCAGTGTTCTTGTTGATGATTAGGTGGTTGTTACTGGAAAGTACACAGAAGCCATATTTGAAGAGGACCCTAGACTAAAGGATATTTTTACTTTGAAGAATGGACTGTGTTATTTGTGATTTATTGTCCTTTTGTAACAGCTGATGATCTTGAACAACCAGAATTGCAGTCATTTCCTCCAGTGGTCAGGTCAAGCAGGACATATCTGCACGTGGTAAACTTAACCAAAAAAAAAAAAAAAAAGGGCCTTTTCCTTCTCAGCTTTGCAGGTTCCCTTTGGATTTTTTTTCCCTGAACTCAATCTAAAATAGGGTGGGTTGGTTGGTTGTTTTATTCTTCCCTCTTTCTTCCCACCATGCGCTGGACAGTAGCAGGAGGTGGAGTTCATGTCTGCACTGTCACTACACCCCATTATTTCTTAGCTAAGAAATAATGAGGCAGAAGAGGAAAACCCAATGGCTAGTTTTCCACTTTTCAGACTTCTGCTGTGTCTGAGTGATTACAAACTTTTGCAAAACAGAGTGATTGCAAACCTTCGTTTCTGCTGCTAAGCTGAAGCAGAACATGGCTGTGCCCTACTGAGTTGAAGGGACAATTGTCACAGCTCCATCTATAGCAAAAGATTCTCTTAATGTGCCTACCTGTGCAGCATGCCCTGTGGCCTGTGACAGGGGCTGATTTCTGTGAACTTGTTAGGGACAGCAAGGCCTGGCACTAGCCCTCGGGCCCAGGCAGCTGGAGCAAGGGGACACAGCAAACCCTATTAAAAGCACCTCCAGTAATGAGGCCATCTTCTGAAACTTCTTCTAGCACATTGCTTAGGTGTGTTACTGTAGAAGGGATATAGTGTGAGGGGTGTAGCTTTGGTGTTCAGGGAGTTTGGGTTTGTTATAGGCCAAAACAGAGTTTTGATCTTCCTGACCTTCATATACCACGTGCTAATGGGAACTCTGGCTTTCTAAAATCATATGTGAAGGTAGAGGTGTTGTTTAAAGAACAACAGCAACAACAAAACCATAGTATAGATACATCAGCTATAAGTATATGACTTCTTATAAAAGGTTCCACACACTTCACCGCTTTACTGTGCTGTTATAAAGATCTTTTTGAGGACTGTTTCAGTTTAGCACAAGGGGAAAGAATTGCGTATTCCATTACACTGCCCTATTGAGGCCTGAACTGAATGCCTGGAGTATTTGTTAGTCTCCTACACAATGTTCCCAGTCATGACTTCAATTAATTTAAAACCAGACTGGAGAGCACTTTGTAACATGCGTGTTGCGGATGGGAGAGGCGCACACTGGACGGGTTGTTCCTGCCTTCCAGAGGCCTGGGCAAGGTAATCTGCTGACCTCTTCTGTCCCCAGCACTTGGCAACACCTCTTCGCATGAAGGCGAGCAAAAATAGATGGTTTCCCTTAGCGTGGCTAGACAGTGCTGCGGGAAAATTACTTCCGTGGGCTAACAGCATGACTACAGGGTTTCACAGATGCCAGTTTGCACGGCTATCTTTCAGGAAAGCTTCCTTTCCATAAGCCAGTAGGTAATGACAGCAGAATATCTTATCACATTCTGCCTGATGACAGCCATGTGTACCAAGTTGCTGTGAGACTGATCTCTTTGCTCTGCTCATCAAAGCCTGAGGGAATGTTTTGAGGGCTGAGAGCTGGTTTCAGGGAAGACCTGCATTTTACCTTAGTGTTTCAGTATTTATACTGCTGGCAAATTTACTGTTTTGTGCTCTTCACCTTCCTTTTTTTTTTTTTTTTTTAATGGGTTGACTGTTTGGACCTATATTCTTCACAGCGCTGCATGCTGTTCACCTTGGCCTACAGCTGAGGACCTTTTCTTCTGTGATGGTGCAGAATAGATGGACACAAATGCTGCCTTTATGGCAGCTTTTCCAGGATTCTGGAATGGGGCAGATGTGTTTCCCTTTTTGATGTGTTTATCTGTTGTGTGAGCTTATAGTCAAACTGAATGTTATCTCTTAAGAAATTATTCCAGCTTATTCGATTTTTCCAGGTGATTTTTAGTGTACATCAGATTTTTTTTTTTTAAACATTTAATCTGATGCTGCAAAGGCACTCACTGTGAACAACTTCTAATTGTAGAGTCAGAAATATAAAGAAACAATTAGTAACTGGCATTAAAGGCAGCCTTTTATCTGTTGCTCCAAGAGCAAGGGGCTAAGTGGCTGCTTTGAGCCTGGCAGTTTAGCTTTGTAACATCACAGGGTTATGCCAGCACTGGCATTAGGAGATGGTTCGTCTTGCAGGAGGCAGCCGTGAGGTTGGTTTGGCAGAGGTACCCAATGGAAATCTCACTCACACTGTGGGTTCCTCCCTTGGATATCACTTGTGTGGACATGCATTAAATGATGGTGGATAAAATGACTGTACAAAGTAGTGAGGGAACTGGATACTGCTGTGGGGTTGTTTGTTTTAATGGCTGTTGAGCACCTCAGGATTTGGAAGTACACCTGCGTTCTCTCTGCTGTCTTTTCAGATTTTGATGTGTCCAGAACATGAAATGGAGAGAGTAAACATGTACTGTGAAATCTGCAGAAGGCCCGTTTGTCATCTTTGTAAACTAGGTGGATCTCATGCAAACCACAGAGTAACAACTATGAGCACTGCCTACAAAACTCTTAAGGTAAAAGTAAAATGGGGTTTGACCTGGCCTTAAGGAAGTGTACTGAAAGGGCAAACTCTCTGGCAGAAAGCCAGGATAGCACATTGTGCTAGTCTTGAGGTGTGCTCTTGTGCACCACCTATTAATGTGTGTGCCAATGTGACTGAGTGTGTGTTTGAGAAACCAAACTCTGTATTCTGTGAATTTTGAACCGTTTGAACCGTAGCTCCTTAAGAGTGCTTCCACTTTATTTTAGACAGCTGTACTGCAGCCAGCTGTATTGACCAAGGCAAAAGGTGTAAGCAGTTTTTCAGTCTGGTTTTGTGACTTGAATGAACTGACACCTTAAGAACACTCCAGATAAATTTGGATCTGAAGTAATTTGGGGGACCTTGCATGTTATGTATCTGTTAATTTCCTAAGTATAGTATAATAGGGAAGACTTGCAAGCATTGCTTTGTTATTAGAGAATGATTGCTGCCTGCTACTTCCACATTTCCCCACCACCACCCAAAAAAAAAAAATCTGCTTGCCTTGTGCTACTTGGCCTTCTGACTTGTGTTTGCAAAGCTACTGTACAGTTGCTGACCCTTTTGCAATCAGGGAAGCGCAGAGATGCTCAGAAAGTCACCATTCCAAACAAAATCTTACTGCAAAGAGTGATTAGTAACTGAGGAGGCATTTTGCTATGTTACAGAAATGCCTACAAGCCTCATTTTATTTGTTCTAAGAGAGGGCATTTGCTCTTGTGGTTGGGGAAGGGTGGGCCAACCCGGGCTGTTGCATGTTGGTGTTAGAAGCCTCTGCTCCTCTCCCTGTCCAAAGTGTTGGCCCATTTGCTGGTCGCGCTCGTCGTCGGTTTCTCCACTCCAGGTCTCCACAGTGCTGGGTTTTCAGAACCAGAACTGGTTTTCAGCCTCGTAGCCGGGCAAACTGAGTGCTAGCCAGGCTGCTTACATGCGCCAGGTGGAGATGAATATCCGTGTCCTGCAACTTGCTATTGTGTTTTAACAGGAGAAGCTTTCAAAAGATATAGAATACCTCATCAGTAAGGAGAGCCAGGTAAAAAGTCAAATCTCGCAGCTGGGCCTCCTGATTAAGGAAACAGAGGTAAGACACATGACTTGCTAATTCCTTGGGAATGGTCCTTGAAGGCACAAAACAGGGATTGGCACTGTAAAGCCCTTAGTAGAGCCCTTTGATTTTTTTCTTTTTTTTTCAGTTAGCCAATTTCTGTAGTTTGTGTTAATATTTAATCACTCTAGCCTACTGTAGGGCATTATGGCCCTCCCTGATGGTGAGGGAGATTTAGGCAACACCATACACAGTCTGTCCAAAAGGGAAGTTCTGGGTGCTACTGCAAATGTAATAAGTTGGAGTATCAGATAAGCTTTATTTCAAAGAGAAGCTGATTAGAGTTAAGACTCGGGGTTTAATGGCACCGTGCAATTTACTCCCTCTGTTTCATTTGAGATGCTGTTGCAATAAAGTTGGAGCTAAGCACAGAAACTCCCTGTGGAACACCCAGAGCAGGGGAGTACGCTCGCATGCAAGCTAAAAGACTCCCTGTAGAAATGTCGAGAGCTCCTAGCCCTGTCCATATCTTGATGCAGGCCAAACCTGTGCTTTGTAGTTCCTTATCCAGCATAGTCTGAGATGGGCCTGCTGTTCCAAGGGCATACGTGGAAAGAGAGATTTGATTCCTGATTAAGATGATAAAGGAAGCTGGAAATGCATCTGGCTCTTGGGTGTGAAGACTTCAGGGGTTGACTTGCTTTAATAGTACTTTTATGGGAGTTGTTCAGACAAAGAAATGTCTGAATATTTCAAGAAGTGATCAGAGAAATATTTTCTTCTCTGATTTTCTTAATTTGCTGTGTTGAAATAATAAGTGCTTTCCAGCTTGGGTACGGTATTGCTCATATGAGCTTAGCTGTGCTGTTAAATGTTGAAAATATTAGTCTTGTCTGCCAAATACATGGCCAGAGTGCCATGATGTTTTGAAAAACCTTAAATAAGTTGTTCTACTCAAGCCACGGTACTGCAGAATCTCTCTCAAATATATTTTGTTCCCTTCTAGTGCAATGGTGAGAGAGCTAAAGAAGAAGCATCTCAAAATTTTGACAAACTGTTTGATGTTCTACAAGAGAAGCGATCAGTAGCTCTCAGGGCAATTGAAGCATCTAAGAATTTAAGGCTGGAGAAACTACAAACCCAAATAGAGGAATATCAGGGTCTCCTAGAAAATAACGGCCTTGTAGGATACGCTCAAGAAGTGCTCAAAGAAACTGATCAGTCTTGTTTTGTCCAAACAGCAAGACAGCTCCATGTCAGGTATTTGAAATATCTTCCAGTTTAGGTGCAGCTTATCTGTTGAAGCCTATTCTTTCGATATCTGACAGCTAAGTTCTCAATGCAATATCTTAAATTTGCAGAGGTTGATAGGTGGTCCAGGTGGGGCTTGATAGAAATTGCTATTTTCCAGAGCATGCTAAGAAAAGGCATTCTCTCCTATAACATCTAGCCTTGTTTAGCAGAACTGCAGTATAAGGGTAGTCCATTCAGATTCCAGATACATGTCTTTGCTCAGAGATTGTATCAGGAATTTCAAAGTTAATTTAACTGTTCTGTTCTGGCTTTGAACTCTTTGATCTTAATAGTTGTTCTCCATTAGCACTTCATGCCTATTTTGTTGTTTGAACATAATGGCCCAAATAGTTCAGATGTTCTGCCATCTAAACTGTAATCTGTTCATTATCTTTACATTGATGTACAGAAGGTATTTAACAATGCCAGACATAATCCTGGGAGACTTCAGTGATTGCATGAAAATAAGACTTCTTTTAAAAGAGAAACTAATATTTTTCTTTTAAGAAATGGATATATATAAATTCCCCTCTTCTCTCAACCTTGTGCTTCCAGGATTCAAAAAGCTACCGAATCTCTGAGAAGCTTCAGGCCAGCAGCTGAAACTTCTTTTCAAGACTTTGTAATGGATGTAGCAAGGCAAGAAGAGGTCCTTGGTGACTTGTCTTTCTATTCCAATGGTAAGATGCAAGAACAGCAGGTCTTTCTTGACTCATGGTCTTTTGTCTGTCTAGAGAGAGCCTTAGATTTACACAGCATTGCAGTTAGATAACTGTCATGTCATGCAGCTTCTGACTTGAATAGAATAGTTGCTCTCTATTTCTCCAGGGTACAAAAGGCATTACCTATCAGCAATGCTAGCTTCAGCTTTTATGAACTGCCATGGTCTTCAATACCAGTTTATGTTGCCTTCCAAAATAATGTAGTTAAGTAAGAGCTACCTCATCTTGCCTGGGCTTCTCATTGCATGATTGGGTTTTATATGTTTTTTGGCTTGCCAGTGAAAGTAATACTGACAACTGTCAAAGTAAGTGCAGATAAGGGATGTACGTGGGTACGTGAAGAGAACCATCCTCAGCTATACTCTTTCAGTCTGTGAGTCAGATTTTTTTCTTCTTCACTGCACTATAACCTTTGTACAAAGGTCTTTTATGGTTAATTCTAAAACAACATAGATCTAAAGTTTAGGGTTTTTTTACTCCTTAATCTCTGTCATTCCAGGTCTAGATGTGCCAGAAATCAATGAAGAAAAGAGCAAAATATACAACAAGGCTGTGATCAGTTGGGAAAATCCTGGAAAAGCAGATTCAGCTGATATCTATGTCCTTGAGTATAGGAAGCTTAATAAAGATGAGGAGAGTGCAACGTGGCAAGAGATCGAAGTTTGCAGCAAGAGCAAAGTAATATCTGATTTTGATAACAACAGTAGCTATGCCTTTAGAGTCCGAGGATACAAAGGGTCCATCTGCAGTCCTTGGAGCAGAGAAGTTATCTTGCATACACCTCCAGCTCCAGGTACTATTTTATTTATGTCTAGAAGGTGCTGAATTTGTATCTTTAGATGTTATGAGAAGCTATAGGCAATTTCTAGAAGCTTTCAGACTTCTGTTCTGCAATTACCCAGTCACATAAATTTATGGAAGTATTGTTAACAAATACATTAATTAGCATACTGAGACTGTGTGACATTTCTGGTAGCTTTTAAAAGTGAGAATTTCAAGTATCAGTGTGCTTAAAATGAATTTTAAAGCCAGATGGTTAATTTTTAATCTTGGGGCTACTGTTTTTCAGTTTTTAGTTTTCTTTTTGATGCCAAATGTGGGTACAACAGCGAACATCTCCTCCTGAATCCAAGAAGAAGTTCTGTGGAAAGCAGGGCTGGATTTCCCCTTCTGCTAGGAGCTGAACGCATACAGGTTGGATGTTACACGACCTTGGATTACATCATTGGTGACACTGGGATTACCAAAGGGAAGCATTTCTGGGCTTTTCGTGTGGACGCCCACTCATACCTTGTCAAAGTGGGAGTTGCCTCTAGCGCCAAGATACAGGAATGGCTTCATAGTCCCCGTGATGTGACCAGTCCAAGGTAAATTGTACATTCTTGCGTGATGCATTTTTTGCATAAGTAGTTGGCCCTTTAAAAAATAAGAGGAAGTCTGGTCTGAATTGGTGAAGAATATGAACATTGATCAGTGTAAAATAGTTCAAAGGATCTGGTATATGCTGGGTTGGTTTTGGTTTCAGGTTCAAGGCTGGGCGGAGTGTTGTTTCTTCTTTTTTTTTTTTCCCCCAATATCAGTAGAAAGGTGTTCATTTAATTATGCAGAGTCTTACTTTATTTCTTTGGGAGAAAGGAAGTCATGTTCCTATATACATCAAGATGGTCAGATGAAAGCAGAAAGGAAAAAAAAATAGTTGCAAGACTGAAGCAGTGTTTAATCATCAATAGGTAGACTCTGCCTTTGATGCTTGAGCATGCTAAGGTTTGACTGCCATTCAGAGCTACAGTGTTTGCTGTACATCTTTGTGGTATCTTTCTTCACAGTGGACTCTAAATACTGGTTTGTCCAAGGCCATCCTCTTGCACACTGTACTGAGGTGATACTGGACACAACCGAAGGTACAGTGGGCAAAGCAGCAAAAAGATTTGCAGTTCGCAAAGACAACTATAGTAATCTTGAATGTTACTAGGAAAAGCAGGCTGAGGAGGTATTCCCTGGGGCCTTAAAACTTTTGAGGGGAATCTAACAGATGTATTGGCTTCTTCGTATATAACATACTAGAACTGTAAAAAAATGCCAATGTTTTGAATTGATTAAGGTCAGAGAGAGCCTTTTTGCAAAGTGAGAAATTAAATCCAGTTTCCTTATCCCTTTTTCCTTATTCACATAAATATGCATAAATGTGTAGCTGACACAAATCCAACAACACAAAAACGCCACCTAGGAATTCAATGCACAGAATAGCAATGGCTTGTATGGTTCTTTGACCTGTCTTCATCTTTGAATGCAGGGATATAGTGAGGAAGGCCAAAGCCCCTTTGGAAATTGAGTGAGCAAGAGATGTTAGGGATAACAGGAAGGGCTTCTACAAATACATCAACAGCAACAGGAAAGCTAGGGAAAATGTTAGTCTGCTGCTGAATGGGAAGGATCCCTTAGTGATGGAGGATCCAGAGAAGGCAGAGGTACTAAGTGCCTTCTTTGCTTCTTTCTTTACTGCTAAGGCCAGTACCCATGAACTCCAGAGCCTGGAGAACAAGAAAGAAAACCGGGAGAGAGGAGGACTTTCTGCTGGTCGAGGAGGAGTGGGTTAGGGATTATTTAGGCAAACTGGACACCCATAAATCTATGGGCCTGGATGGGATGCACCCAAGAGTGCTGAGGGAACTGGTGGGGGTCATTGCTCAGCTGCTCTCCATCATCTTCAAGAGGTCATGGAGAGCAGGGGAGGTGCCTGAGGACTGGAAGAAACCAGCGTCACTGAAGTCTTCAAAAAGGGCAAGGGGGAGGAGCCGGGAAACTACAGGCCCGTCAGCCTCACCTCCATCCCTGGAAAGGTGATGGAGCGGCTTGTCCTAGAGACCATCTCTAGGTGCGTCAAGGAAAAGAAGGTGGTCAGGAGGAGTCAGCATGGATTCAGCAAGGGGACGGGGATGAACCTGATAGCCTTCCATGATGAAGTGACTGACTGGATGGATGATGGGAGAGCCATTGCTCTTATCTACCTTGACTTCAGCAAGGCTTTCAGCAAGGCTTTTGACACCGTCTCCCATGACATCCTCATAGGGAAGCTCAGGAAGTGTGACTTAGGTGAGTGGACAGTGAGGTGGATTGAGAACAGACTGGATGGCAAAGCCCAGAGGGTGGTGATAAATGGGGCCAAGTGTAATTAGAGGCCTGTGGGCAGTGGTGTCCTACAGGGGTCCATACTGGGCCCAGGGCTGTTCAACTTGTTCATCAATGACTTGGACGAGGGCACAGAGTGCACCCTCAGCAAGTTTGCAGATGACACCAAACTGGGAGGAGTGGCCGACACTCCTGAGGGCTGTGCTGCCATTCAGA